ACTACAGGTTGTTCTTGGAGATCCTGAACGACTGCTCGGACGTGGATGAAATCAAGTTCCAGGAGGACGGGACGTGGTGTCCAATGAGACCAAAGAAAGAAGCTGTGAAGATCCCCACTCAGTCCGTTCCAAAGGTGGACAGTAAGTATCGTCCACACCTGCAGCTTTGACTCTAATGCTGTGGTGATTCATGTATATGTGGCTCCTGTGGGCACAGCACTGGCCTCTCAGGGCTGCAGAGGTTAGTGTGTTAAAACAAATGTCAGTAGCTGCTTTGATTTAGGAGCTTTGTTAAATAAATAAAATATTTAATTGTATTTATATATCACCAAATCAAACAAAGGTCATCTTAAAGCGCTTTATATCGTAAGATAAAGAGTCGACAATAATACAGGAAACTGCTGAAACTTTGAATGTGAATCATGAAGAAAGGAGGCCTGGGACGGCTGAGGAGACGAACGACTGTTATTCAGCAAAAGGATCCACAGACTGTTAGCATCATGTGACCCTGTGTCTAAAATAGCTTTGTGTCTGTGTGTCAACAAAAGTCCTGTAAGTTTCCAAAAGAAGGATGTTTGCAAAGCTGTTAAAGATTGATTGTTGTCTGCACAGCACTGAGAAATCCTTTTAAACGAACTGTTCTGGCTCATAATTCCTCCTCTCACTGGGACAGAACTGGGAGAAATGGATTTATCCATGAATCCATCTTTGTGTCATTTTATTGTAAATGAAACTGTAGATTTTGTTGTTATCATACCAAATAACTGAGCTGAAAGAGACGGAGAGGTGGAAGATGAGGCAGCATAAAAGCGACTGCGTGTCCAACAAACCTCCAATGAGCATCAGTAATAACAGACCAGCATCTTCTCCCAGCGTCCCAACCTTTAAGTCCACTAAAGAGCTTACAGAGCGGCTCCATAGATGCTGGTTTTAACCATAAACCGTCTGTTTGCTGAAGCCTCACCTGTAGTAACCAGATTCAGTTCAGCTCGTTGGAAGATGTGAAAACGATTGCTTTCGGTCTTTTCTCGGGACGGGAGGAGCAAACTCACGTCAGGTGACCTTTACCTTTCAGCCTCGGCTCCTTTGCGTCAACCATCGGTGGCCCCTCATTCTACTGAGCCCAGCTACACCAAGAGGGCGGACGTGATTGATCTGACTATAGAAAGCTCTTCTTCTGATGACGAAGAGGACAAAGACCCTCCACCCAAGAAACGCTGCGTCTACATCTCCAAGAATGAGGAGATGCATGCAAAGGGGTGAGCCATGTTTACCGTGAACCATCTGGTGTGACCGCGCTGTACCGCAGCATGTTGATAATTACACGTGTGCTCATCAGCTGTGTGTGTTCGTCTCTGATGTTTTCAGAGTGTTGAGCTACCAGCCCACCGTGCGAGTGCCAAACGTCCAGGCCCTGGACCCGTCGTATCTGAACTCCACACTGGCCGACTACGCGGTCCCCTTCCACCCTTCGGCCTTGGCCTCCATCCCCACAGACATGCAGAGTGAGTCAGAGAAACACTCGCTGACTGTCAGCATGTGCACATGGATACTGTTCAAATTCTGATTCTTCTGTCTTTCAGGTCTGGATCTGTTTTCCTTAATTCAAACGGATCCACAGGTATGTGTTTTATGTTCCCCTTTTTAATGCTGTCTGAACTGTAGCAGCACAGTGACAGGCTCATGATGTTCCTGACCTTTCTGTTTGTTTCAGTCAGAGTGGATATGACATGTGGTGGCAAATGGTACAAAGCTCGGCTCGTTTATGTAAGCAGGTCTGACCAAACGTAGCAAAGATGTAGACGATAAACTGTCTCCCAAAACTAATTACACGTCACGGCAACAGCAACTCTTAGTCTGTGCAGATGTTTCTGTGGGAAACAGTAGCATGTCTCAAAATGCAAACACAGTAGCCACAGTGTGCAAATGAAGAGGTTGGCAGAGGCACTGTGCAGGAAACATCTTCAGTGATGTATCCTGGGGTCATCAGGTGTTTCGGGTCTCGCGGCATCATAGACCTTCGCCCAGGCGACCCAGCTGGGGGTGATCAGGCCCCGACTTGCGCACCAGTAGCTACCCACAGATCAGCCCCTTAATCCACAGCCAGCTTGTGGTTTTCCCTGCTGCCTCGCTCACAGCCTGGACTCTTATTCGCTGCCCCAGCCACACCCAGCCGCCCTAAGACTTTGCAGAGTGATCGTCCTGCAAAGCCCCTACAGCCCACCTCTATGGGCTCATAGAAAGTCTTTCAGCCCTTATCCTGCACTAGTTCCTGGTACTTGGCGTGTTTCCTCTCGTTGACCTCGATCCACTCTTCCCAGGGCACTGTGCGTTCAGCATGAGCAGATGTTTTGAGCCCTCAGAGATGATGGTCATGTCTGGGTGGAGGGATGTTTTTACAGTGTGCTGTTTACCAGCTCAGCCTGCAGCTGCCAATCAGAGGCTGTGTCTGGGGGCCGGTTGTTGAATGTGGGCGCACCTGGGCTTTCTCTCCAGCCTTAATAAAAGAGGCTTCATCAGAGCGTGATGGTGCTTGCTGGTACTGAGTGCTGAGGCAATCTTTTCAGCAACTACTGGTCGTGTCGCCAAGAACACCGACCATCAGCCGGGGCCTTTGGGCAGCGGCTGAGGAGGTGATCTATGGTGCCTCTTCCAAAGCACAGGGGACAGGCATGTGTCTCTCTTCCCCCACACATGGAGGTTTACTGGGCTGGCAGGCTGTCGTATACTGCCTGCACGAGGAATCGGATGCGGTGGAAGTCTGCCTGCATGATGTTTGCCCAGGTGACCTTGAGCTGCAAGGTGCTCTCCCACCGTGTCCACGCGCCCTGCTGCCTGAGACCTCCGGCCCTGCTTACTCGCTCCTCCTCCACACCTGCTCGACCTCTTCCTGGAGCAGCTGGTGTCTCTCCTTTCCCTGTGCCCTGCTGACCTG